TTCCCAAAATGTCTGTGCTTGAGGGGCATCTCCCTCCGGTACCAGCCAGGGAGCCCTAGGGCGCAGACAGCATGCAGGGGCGATGAAGGAGAGGGAAAGGTTTGTGAGCCACTGAACGTGAGACAGCAAAATTACAGGGCTAGTAGCAGGTGCACAGGGCATATAGGTGGGTCCCTGCGTCCCAGTGTTGCAGGCTCCTATGTAGCATGGCACCTATGCAGTCTGCACAGGGTCCTCTTCTCCCATTGCTGTAGACTCCTGCATAGACACGGCACCAGCAAAATGTGTTCCACTCTCCCAGAGCCATGGGCTCCTGGACACATGGTGCCAGCACAGCTGGCCTCTGAGTCTCACCTTCTGGTGCCACAGGCTGGCTCCTAAGTACATGTGGTGCCTGCGCACCTGCTGTCTGCACTATTGCGTCCTGATGCTGCGTGTTCTGTGTTTTCATGAAGTGTCCATGCACCCTACCCTGGGTTCCCATCTCCCAGTGCTGCAGGCTTTCATGCACAGCCTGCATATTTGTCTGAGTCTCCCGTCACTGTAGGGTCCTGAGTACATGTCTAATCAGCTTGTGGCTCAGGCATATGCAGTGTGCATGTGAGGCACACACAATATATTGTCAGGGTCCATCTCTGTTCCTTTCTTCCTGAGCTGTATGTGTCCCTGCCATAGCTACCGAAACCCAATTGTAGGGACCTACCTTGTAATTGTCTCTTGTATTAATACCTCATCATCTCTGCGTGATTTCTCTGTCTAGGTCAGACTAGTGCTCCATCTAGTCTAGTATCCCATCTCTGACAGTAGCAAGTATTGGAGGCTTCAGGGGAAGGTGTAAACATCCAAAGTGGACAGTTGTGGACATTCTCCCCACAGGCTACCCTGTCTAAAGTAACCATCGTCCATGTAAATGTCAAATCCCTTCCTGAATTCTGTTGTGCTCTTGGTTTCTCTGATATCAGTGGCGATGAGTTCCATAGGCTAATTAGGTGCATCAAAAGTTTTTCCCATTCCTTAGTGTTACATTTGTTAACACACTCAGTTTCATCCTGTGTCCCCTTGTTCTTGTGTTATGAGAGAGGGGGAATAGGAGTGCAGAATCTATCTTTTCAGTTCTGGTCAGGTTCGTATACCGGGCCCAGCACCATGGCATCTCAACACCTCTTTTTTATTTTTATGCTTCTGTTATATCCCCTGTTGTTCATCTCCTCTCTGAACTAAACAGTCCCAGTCAATCTCTCTGCACAGGAAAGTCTTTTCAGGCCTCTAATCATTTTCCTCACTTGTCTTTAAACTCCTCCTTTTCCCTTTTTCTAGCTACTTCCTAGATTCTCATACTGTTTCTATCTCCATCCCTCTGACTGCCTCCTGTGTTTTATCTCAACCCACTTAGTTGGGGCTGCTGCTCTTCATAGGATTATAGATGTTAAGAGATGGAAAATGCCTCTTAGCCCACATCAAAACTCCTTTTCCAGGGAGCCTGGAAGCCTGGAACAGAATTGTTCCCCACAGGGTTCTTTCCAGTCTTGTTTTCAGTGTACCAAGCAATGGAGCTCCTACCACTTCCCTGAAGAGACAGCTCCAGAGCCTGGCAAATATTCTTACATAGCTAGGTAAGTGTACGTGCTACAAAGTCCCTGCCCCCTGGAGTTTGGGTGGTTGGACTTGGCCTTCTCACTGGGCCCTCCTTCCAAAGAACATCACCCACTTCAGACCCAGCGTTACTTCTGATCCAGAAAAATGTAGAGGACCAAATTCAGAAGTGGTGCAGGTTAGGCTCCTTACAGTGAGACTACCTTAAACCTACCTAGGACCTATTCTTCCAATGGGGAAGGAATCTTAAGGCTTCCATTCTGCGGGTGGCTCCAAGAGGAGGGATCCCAGCACCAGCATGGAATCCCACTGAAGTAAATGGAGAACTGTGTGGTGGGAGTTGCCTAAGCTACAGTAACATGCTTCCTTTAATTTATATCCTCTCACCCACTCTTATTAGTTGCTTTCCTTGCTGTCTTCCTCTTTCCCAGCCCCTCAGTGTGTGTTACAATGTAGACAGGTTCCCTTCCACTCAGCTAGACTCTGGGCCAAATTTAGAGCAGAAGTGTGTGAGCGTGAAGGCTGTACGTTACACTTGGGTAAGTGGGACAGGTTCAAGCTAGTGTAATTCATAAGCCGAGGGGGGACAGGAAAAGTGTGAGCTACATCAGTGCATGCTCTTGTAGACTTTAATTCTTAGCCTCCGCTTTGAATCTGGTCTGCTGTCATGCTTCTATTATAAATTAATTACATCGGGAATGCTGAATCATGGACCTAGAGACAACTTTGTAGACACTAAAAGGATGACGGTCTCAGTGTTTAAAATTTCTTTGACTGTTGTTTTTTCTTGTATGATTCACAGATTCCAAGGCCATAAGGGCCTAATCTGACCTCCTGAATAACACAGACCATAGAATTCACCCAAAATAATTCCTAGAGTAGATCTTGGGGGGAAAAAATCCAATCTTGATTTTAAAATTGTCAGTGAGTGGAGTATCCACCATGACCCTTAGTAAATTGTTCCAGTGGTTAATTACTCTGTTAAAAATGTACACCTTATTTCCAATCTGAATTTGTCTAGCTTCAACTTCCAACCACTGGATCATGTTAGACCTTTCTCTGCTAGATTGAAGAGCTCATTATCAAATATTTGTTCCCCAGGAAGGTACTTACAGACTGTGATCAAGTCACCCCTTAACCTTTTCTTTGTTAAACTAATTAGATTGAGTTCCTGGAGTCTATATGTTTTCTGATCCTTTAATCATTCTTGTGTCTCTTCTACCATTCTCACAGGGTATTTTCTCTTATCCTATAACCTGAAAGGAGTTTAGAGAAGAACAACAAGTCTGAGGGCTGGAGGGATTGATTTAGAGAGATTAAGAGCTAAATCAGTCTAGTTTGGGTAAGTGATGACTAAGGCAGGGGGTGGAGAGAACATGCCAGCAGTCTAGAAAGATCTCATGGATGTAAACACCGGTGAAGGAATTTTTTTTTCAGGTGGCCCAACAAAGTGTAATTCAAGAGGATCAGTCTGAAATTAAGAAAGGGAAATTCAGGCTTCATATGAGGAAAGTTTTGTGGCAGAGAGATCTACAAGTGAATGTGAACATCCCAGTCTGCTATGGTCAGTTGTTAATGTCTTTCTGGTATTGTGCCCAGAATTGAATGCAGTATCTCACACGAGATCCCACTAGAGCCACATGGAAAGGTTTTGGTCACCTTCTTGTCAGTATGGCCTGTGTGTGCAGCCTCAAAATTGCAGTGTACTTCTTTGTAGACATATCACACTGCAGTTGTCACATTTTCTGTCTAATGTTTTTGGCACCAGGCAGTGGTCTTGTTTGCTTCCATGGGTGTATCCTGTAGGCAGCAGTCACACCTCTGGAAATGATTTAATAGAAGATGAGAAATCTGAGAAAATGAGTCTTGTGCAATGTACCTGAGTTGACCTAACTTTCTAGTGTAGACCATCCCTGAGAGACAAGGTGGTGGATATGTGAGCGTTGTCAATTGTTTTGTAGATATTTGGGGCATGCAGTGATGCTGTCTTTGTGAGGGAGTGGGAGTTGGCATATAGGGAGGTGACATCCATGAGAGAGGTTGTTAATATTGCAGTTTCTGGAGGAAGCCCGTTGTGTCCAGGGGAATCTGGCCATTTGTGTAGTGAGAAAGTCTGGGATACACACCCTAACACACATTTTCCAAACAAAGACACTCCACCAGAGAAGTAGATCACATCATGGAATGGGTCACCCAAGTACCCCAGGAGAACCTGCTTCTATACAGAAAAAACCAAGCCTAACTGCATACCCCTAGTTGTCACCTATCATCCCACTCTGGCACAATGATACCTATATGGGGTATCATTAAACATTAAACCTTCATGGGTGGCAGGTAGAAACCCCTTGGGGAAGCTAGCCCCACTGACCCCCCCCCTTCTGCCTGAGGCCCCATCCCTACCCCACCTTTGCCCCACCCCACCCGCTGGAGCCCTGAAGGCCCCCACCATCACAGCTGGAGAAGCCCCGGCCAAACTGCCCCAACCTCCAGGGCTGCACCAAGTCGCCACGAGCCGGCCTGGGCTGCTGGGCAGCCCATGCCCCAAGCTATTCCAGGCCACCCGCCGGACTGAGCCCTGGGCCGCCCGCTGGCCAGGAGTCCGGTGGTGGCCACACCAGGGGAGGCTTAGCGTCCCCTGGCCTATTCTACCCATCGCCCATGACAACGATATTCAATGGGGACCACATCCTGAAAGAAATCTTTTCCAAAGCCCTGCTACTGGCCTTCAGACAACCCCCCAACCATACCAAGCTCATCATCAGAAGCAATCTCCCCACAGACCAGGACACACCTACTCAAAGCAGTACCAGATCGTGCCAGAACAGATGCAAAACCTGCAGGTATTTTTCCACTGCTACACTGATCAAAACACCCCATAACCAGAGGTGGATTCATTTTTATTGGGACTCTAGGTTCAAACAACATTTGGGCTCCCGGAACTGGGAGGTGGGGGGAGGAGGGTTAGGCCAAGGGAGACATGGCCCTCCCACTTTTCAAAGTTATGCTGTAAAACAGGGAGAACAGGAGTTCCCGATCTCCCTTTCTTTATCCCATTCAGTATTTTAGCTACTTTTCTCACGTCCTCTCGTCTTCATCTCCTTTCTAAAGTAACAATCCAAATCTTTTCAATCTCTCTTCATAGGAGAGTTTTTTCAGGCCCTTTATCATACTCATTGCCCATCTCTGACCCCCGTCTACATCTACAGTGTCCTGTGTGAGCTGGGTTGGCTGGTACTGCACACACGATTGTACATTAGGCCACACCATTGATTTACATAAGGGAATTATAATATTTTCTATGTTGTTCTCCTTCCCATCCCTTATGCTCTTCACATCTTGTTTATAATTCCAGTTGTCCATTGAGCAGGGGTCTCCATTGAGCTGTCTACGGAGCTGCCCAGATCGCTTTCCTGAGTTGATACAGTTCATTTAGAACCCTGGAAAGTGTATGAGAAGTTCAAGATTTTTCTTCTAATGTTCATTGCTTTGCATTTATCAACGTTGAACCACTTGTCCTCATGTTACCCATTGCCCTAGCTTGTTTAGGTCCCTCTGAAGTTCCTCACAGTCCTCTCTGGAGTTAACTCACCTAATTAACATGGTACCCTTACCCTGCCTACTCCCATCCCACCCTCTCCGCATAATGGCTTTCTTGGTTTATCCTTCCCATTGGGGGTCAACTTATCTGCCTTTGCACAAGTACATGTGGGAGTGGGGGCACAAGAAGCCTTTTCTCCTCTTGTAAGGACAGAGCACAGGAGTAGTCCCAGTGAGCAGGGACAGCTAAGCCCTTGCTCCCTCCCTGGTATAAGTCATTTGGAAAGGGGCAGAGAGATGTCAGGGCTATGTCCTCCCTTCCACACTGGCTAGTGGACCAGGGCTGGCACCAGGCAGAGCACTCTGTGCCATCCTGATGGAGCTCTCCATTTGCTCAGCACAAAATCAAAGTCTTGCAGTGCTAGGTTCAGGGGCTGTCCAGTGAGGGGAGGATGTCCTGGCTGAACGGGAGGTACTGAGCCCTTTGCATTTGGCAGCCGGTGGAGAGATGAAGGGCCACAAGCAGGTTAGTGCAGCAGGTGACAGATTGTCTTGTCCTGCTCTCTCCCCCCAGGTTATGCCATTCTCCAGGTTTGCTGGATGCCTGCATGTGAAAGAGAAAGGTTGAGATTTGCCCAGACTTGGCATGACGGTCCTTAGGTCCTGAACCAACATGGCAGCTGGAGAGTCCCCTCCCATAGGAGGTGTCTTCATCAACCTGCAGCAGGTGAGGTGGAAATCCAACAGCAATGACTCTGGCCCTTCCTAAGGAGCCCTGTTCTTGCAGGACTGTGTGCAGAGATCTGCCTGTGCTCTGGCCAGGGCATTCACAGCATCTGGGGACGTCCTCGTTGGTCTCCCAAGTGTCCCATCTGCTCTGGCCTCAGGCCTCGGTGAGAGCAGGGAGTCAAAGTGGAGAAGACAGTGCACCGCTTGGGCTTGGCTTTGATGGCAGCTGTATAGCTGAAGCCTTTTGAAAGATTCACACTCCCTGCCCTGTAGGGCTGGCTGACGCCTGGGTACTGAGGTGAATGACAGTGACAGACAGATGGACGGGCAGAGTCTTGCACTTCTCAGCAGTACCACGGCTTTTCTCCCCACTTCTCCCTTTGTCCCCATCCTCCCCTCTGCCTCGTGGTCTTTGTGGGCAAGGAGAACTGCACACAGCTGGCTGCAGCACCCACCAGAGTGCAGTCACACCAAGTGCTCCTTCCAGGACAGAGTAGAGGGTCTGCTGGGTCTGGTTTCTATGGGGCGCAGTCCAGCTGGGGTTCCCAAATCCCTGGGCAGGCCACAGCAGGGTAGCAACTCCTGGCAGCTTGCGGCAGCGCTCCCAGCTGGGCTGCTGGGCCTGAGAGCAGGCTTGGGAGTGTGTGGGGGAGGTTGGCTGAGGCCATTTTGCTGCCTATTCCAGTTCAGCACAGACAGATCTGTCACAGTTGGGCCTCCTGTTACCATGGAAACAGAGGAGTCCACAACAGCTCAGCACTGGCATTTCGGGCTATGCTGATAGAAAATGTTACCAGCTGCTTCTGCTTAGGAAGTGAAAGGGGCAGAAGTGCCGGAGCTTAGTGTTCAAGCTAGTGTGGTAGCCTCTGTACAAGGGAAAAGCAGAGCACTGGCCTGTGCATCCTGAGAGAAAGGGGCAGCAGGTGAGAGACCCCTAAGGAAACCAGCAGGGTTCAGACACCCCAGAGACTAGGGGCACAGGCCTCATCAGAGAGGGGAGAGTGTGGGGCAGCCAGTGTCATAGGAGCAACTGTGGGGAGGAAGCCTCACCTCTGAGTTCCTCACGCACTGGGCCCTTGAGAGTGGGTTTGAGACATCAGCCCTCATCCCTATTGAAAGAGGAGGCTCCAGGACACAGGACCACCCTCTCTACAGACCGAAAGGGAGCAGCAGGAATGTAGGGTGAAAACTAGCACAGACTCTGCAGCTGCCTGAGCTGAGCAAGGGAAAGTTCCAGCTCAACACAGGTTATGTTCCTTATCTGTGAGAGCAACTAGGCAATGGGATGGACCCCTCACTAGTAGGTGTTGTAAGCACCTTCCCTGGGGAGAGACTGGAGCAGCACCGACAAGGTACTAGTGGCTGTGATGATGAGGAGAGGCCATTGGGATGTGGGGGGTCCAGGCTTGGGGGCCCTGCTGTGGTTTTTTTTCTGGCTCTCAGTTCAGATTGGGGTTCTGCCCCCAGGTACTTTCATAGCCTGCATCACTGTGGTGCGAGTAGCTCCACAGTGTTTGCTGCTTCGTGGTAGCTCCTGAGCTCATGCGAAGTGGCGTGCCATTTGTGGGGCCCTGAGATCTGGAGGGCTATACAGGGTTTGATTGCTATCCAGCTGTTTCTGTGCAGGACAGCGATCATGCTGAGGAGGCCTTTCCCCCCGCCGAGGACGATGAGGATTTGGATAAGACATTGTCAATCAAGAGGTTTGGGGACCTGATAAGCAAGTCAGCATCAAGGGATCTGGAAGAGCAGAGACGCAACTACAGTGAGAGAGATTTTGAATGTATGTAGGTTTGAACACTCTACCCGCCTATGTGCCCACAACTGTCCATCAGACCAAACCCCTCTATACCCTTGGGGCTCAGTCTGGTCTGCAGATCTTAGTAATGTGCTGTTTACCCGCTTCTTGCAGACCGTTAAGGAAGTGGTTGCATATACCCAGTCTCAGCCCCATGCCTGTAGCCCCCATTCTCTGTCAGCTGCTTTTTATTGTCACCTCTTGTGTAGAGGTTTAGCCACTTTCAGTCCACAGGATAGCATTCCTCAGAGGCTGGGAATCCACTCGCCTCCTCACCCCGGCAACTGGGAACCATCACAGCAATTTCCACAGAACTTAAATTTTCTGTTTAAAAACATCTCTTGACCTTATGTCTGTGAAGAAACTTCCAAATGTGGCCTGAAGACAAGCTGCCTTCCTGAATCTGCAGATAGACAGCTCCAAAGCTCCTGGTGCCACAGGTTCAGGCATGCCTATAGGTTTCTCAATAGCAGCCATGAAACTCACCAGAATCATGTTCTATGCAATGGTGTTGTAGCCACGTCAGTCCCAGGGTACGAGAGCGACAAGGTGGGTGAGGTAGTGTCTTCTACTGGACCAACTGCAATTAGTGAGAGACAACACCAGAAGTTGGTCCAATAAAAGATATTACCTCATCCACCTTGTCTCTCAGAATCATGTTGGTTTCATTCTGCAGCTGCTTGGGGAACAGCAGGAGAGGTAGGCACGGGAGCTGTTCACAGAAGGGCCAGAGCAGCAGAGACTGCCCTCAGCAGCGACTGCCCTCAGCAGCCAGGGGTGAGGGACAGAGTGGGAAGCCAGTAGATTTAGTCTTCTGGCTAGCAAGTGTCTGGCAAATTTTCCAACGTCTGGTGTTTCACTGCACGTCAATTTCAGTTTATTTTCCAGTTTAGATTTTGTGAGACACAATGTCAAATGTGTTATTAAATTTCACATATATCACACATGCTGCTTTCTGGTTGGCCACTCCTTTGGAATTTCTCTCAAAGAATAGATTCATAGATTCTAGGACTGGAAGGGACCTCGAGAGGTCATCGAGTCCAGTCCCCTGCCCGCATGGCAGGACCAAATACTGTCTAGACCATCCCTGATAGACATTTATCTAACCTACTCTTAAATATCTCCAGAGATGGAGATTCCACAACCTCCCTAGGCAATTTATTCCAGTGTTTAACCACCCTGACAGTTAGGAACTTTTTCCTAATGTCCAACCTAGACCTCCCTTGCTGCAGTTTAAGCCCATTGCTTCTTGTTCTATCCTCAGAGGCTAAGGTGAACAAGTTTTCTCCCTCCTCCTTATGACACCCTTTTAGATACCTGAAAACTGCTATCATGTCCCCTCTCAGTCTTCTCTTTTCCAAACTAAACAAACCCAATTCTTTCAGCCTTCCTTCATAGGTCATGTTCTCAAGACCTTTAATCATTCTTGTTGCTCTTCTCTGGACCCTTTCCAATTTCTCCACATCTTTCTTGAAATGCGGTGCCCAGAACTGGACACAATACTCCAGCTGAGGCCTAACCAGAGCAGAGTAGAGTGGAAGAATGACTTCTCGTGTCTTGCTCACAACACACCTGTTAATACATCCCAGAATCACGTTTGCTTTTTTTGCAACAGCATCACACTGTTGACTCATATTTAGCTTGTGGTCCACTATAACCCCTAGATCCCTTTCTGCCGTACTCCTTCCTAGACAGTCTCTTCCCATTCTGTATGTGTGAAACTGATTTTTTCTTCCTAAGTGGAGCACTTTGCATTTGTCTTTGTTAAACTTCATCCTGTTTAACTCAGACCATTTCTCCAATTTGTCCAGATCATTTTGAATTATGACCCTGTCCTCCAAAGCAGTTGCAATCCCTCCCAGTTTGGTATAATCCGCAAACTTAATAATCGTACTTTCTATACCAATATCTAGGTCGTTAATGAAGATATTGAACAGAGCCGGTCCCAAAACAGACCCCTGCGGAACCCCACTCGTTATGCCTTTCCAGCAGGATTGGGAACCATTAATAACAACTCTCTGAGTACGGTTATCCAGCCAGTTATGCACCCACTTTATAGTAGCCCCATCTAAATTGTATTTGCCTAGTTTGTCGATAAGAATATCATGCGAGACCGTATCAAATGCCTTACTAAAGTCTAGGTATACCACATCCACAGCTTCTCCCTTATCCACAAGACTCGTTATCCTATCGAAGAAAGCTATCAGATTGGTTTGACATGATTTGTTCTTTACAAATCCATGCTGGCTGTTCCCTATCACCTTACCACCTTCCAAGTGTTTGCAGATGATTTCCTTAATTACTTGCTCCATTATCTTCCCTGGCACAGAAGTTAAACTAACTGGTCTGTAGTTTCCTGGGTTGTTTTTATTTCCCTTTTTATAGATGGGCACTATATTTGCCCTTTTCCAGTCTTCTGGAATCTCTCCCGTCTCCCATGATTTTCCAAAGATAATAGCTAGAGGCTCAGATACCTCCTCTATTAGCTCCTTGAGTATTCTAGGATGCATTTCATCAGGCCCTGGTGACTTGCAGGCATCTAACTTTTCTAAGTGATTTTTAACTTGTTCTTTTTTTATTTTATCTGCTAAACCTACCCCCTTCCCATTAGCATTCACTATGTTAGGCATTCCTTCAGACTTCTCGGTGAAGACCGAAACAAAGAAGTCATTAAGCATCTCTGCCATTTCCAAGTTTCCTGTTACTGGTTCTCCCTCTTCACTAAGCAGTGGGCCTACCCTGTCTTTGGTCTTCCTCTTGCTTCTAATGTATTGATAAAAAGTCTTCTTGTTCCCCTTTATTCCCTTAGCTAGTTTGAGCTCATTTTGTGCCTTTGCCTTTCTAATCTTGCCCCTGCATTCCTGTGTTGTTTGCCTATATTCATCCTTTGTAATCTGTCCTAGTTTCCATTTTTTATATGACTCCTTTTTATTTTTTAGATCATGCAAGATCTCGTGGTTAAGCCAAGGTGGTCTTTTGCCACATTTTCTATCTTTCCTAACCAGCGGAATAGCTTGCTTTTGGGCCCTTAATAGCGTCCCTTTGAAAAACTGCCAACTCTCCTCAGTTGTTTTTCCCCTCAGTCTTGATTCCCATGGGACCTTACCTATCAGCTCTCTGAGCTTACCAAAATCCGCCTTCCTGAAATCCATTGTCTCTATTTTGCTGTTCTCCCTTCTACCCTTCCTTAGAATTGCAAACTCTATGATTTCATGATCACTTTCACCCAAGCTGCCTTCTACTTTCAAATTCTCAACGAGTTCCTCTCTATTTGTTAAAATCAAGTCTAGAACAGCTTCCCCCCTAGTAGCTTTTTCAACCTTCTGAAATAAAAAGTTGTCTGCAATGCAGTCCAAGAATTTCTTGGATAGTCTGTGCCCCGCTGTGTTATTTTCCCAACATATATCCGGATAGTTGAAGTCCCCCATCACCACCAAATCTTGGGCTTTGGATGATTTTGTTAGTTGTTTAAAAAAAGCCTCATCCACCTCGTCCACCTGGTTAGGTGGCCTGTAGTAGACTCCTAGCATGACATCGCCCTTGTTTTTTGCCCCTTTTAGCCTAACCCAGAGACTCTCAACACTTCCGTCTCCTATGTCCATCTCCACCTCAGGACACTGAGGTAGCACTGATGTCTCTGTTTGTTATAAACCACGCCCAACAGCTGCTTATTGCTCATGCTTCCATTTCCCCCAGCTTCCATATTTTCAAAACATCAGTGCACACAATCACCTGCACTAACAATTGTGCCTTAAGATGACAGATTCTAACACCTGTATAGATTAGTGATCGAACTTCCACTCAGAAGTATCACCTGCATACACAGGTGTTAGTGCTGGAAGTGTGTGCATGGAGGTGTTTGCTTGCGCCGCCAGGACAGAGGTTTCTCTGAAAAACTGACTCTAGATTTTTAGTGTCCAATATTTTTCTGGAGAGAAAAGGGAGCCTTATTGAGCGGTGATTGAGACGCTCATTCCTCTTTCCTTTTTTGGAAGTCATGACCGCATTTGTTTTCCTCGAGTCTTTTGATGCCTCTCCACATTATCCAGGACTCTTCAGAACTAATTATCAGTGGGTCAGTAAATTCATGAGCTAATTCTCTTAAGATCCTAGAATGACATCATCTGAGCCCACGGAATTGTATATGTTCAGATTTTACAAACGTCCCCTGAGCCATTGTACAGGCTCTTCCTTCCAGATGGATTGTTCAAACTCCTTTTCTATATTTATCTTGTTGAAGACAGATTTAAAAGGAGTGGTTGAGTATCTGAGCCACCACTGAGGCAGAGCTTTCCAGGTGGACAGGAGATGCCATGGAGCAGGGAAGGAGAGGATATGCTGAGTGCACACAAGGGGGCAGAGGGACAAGTTGGGAGGAGGTACCAAGGTGCAGGTGAATCATGGGAGAATGTGCAAATCCTGTATTTAGAAGAGAGATGTGGTGGTTTTAGCTCTGAGATGTGCTTTCTTGTTACGAATGCTCAACCCTGACTCAGAAGGCCCAGTGCACAGAGGTCAAGTGTAGAGTTCCTCACTTCTGGTGGCCAAGCAGGCATATGCCAGCCCTTTCTCAGCACTGTTTTGGGATAGAGATTGCAGAATCTCTTGCCCTTGGCAGGCAGCTCAAGCCTTCCATCAGGTCAGTGTTCAGGTTCTTTGTCTCAGCTTAACTTGCCACATGATGACCCATTCCAGTTGTCTCAGAGGGGAGCTGCAAAGGGAAGAGACTGGGCCTGCACCTTTGTTTGTGCCTTTATGCTGGTGAAAGAGCCCCGATAGCAGTGGTGGATTTAGTTCTGTCAAGGTTTTTTCCCCCACTTATAGGTCTTAAGCAATTTAGGTCTTGCGCACACTGGAGACTCTATCGTGAGCAGAGAAGAGCCAAGGGAGTGGAAGCTGGAGCAGCAGCACAAGGGGGATTTTCGGTCTGCCAGCCTGTGTAAAAAGCAACAGAGAGTCCTGTGGCACCTTTAAGACTAACAGATGTATTGGAGCTTTCGTGGGTGAATACCCACTTCTTCAGACACATGCCTGTGTAAAGTGCTTTGGTCCCAGTTTGGTTTTGGGCATGAATATTTAACTCAAATGGCCAATGAACGTTTTGGGTGAAAGAAACTTTTGTTAAAGAGTAAGAGCTCTGCTCCTTCAATTGACGCCTGAGAGCTCATAATACACGTCCCTGAGGCACCTTCTGCCTGGCCAAAAAGCTTCTCCAGTAGAACTAGGGCAGGGCAGACTCAACAATCCTGATATTTCTAGGGGGGAAAACCAAGCCCAAAAAACAAACAAAATCCCCCCACCCAAAACACCACCACAAAATGCTTGAAAAACCAAACCAAAGCAAAACTGGAACAACAGTGAACCTGGCCGGCTGGTGTGCAGAGGAGGGGGTGCAAGTCCTTTGTAGGCCACTTTTCAATCCAAGCAGAGTTTATTGGCTTATTATAGGAAAGAGGGGAAAGCCTGAAATAAAAGTGGATTACACAAAATGTGGCAGAAAGAGCTGCTGTGTAGATCCAAAGCTGCACACCCTGCAGAGCCACCAGTGTTTTGGTGACTTCCAGCTGCCTCTCTGGCTGTCTTAGTGTCTCTGCTCCAAGTCCCACAGAGTCAGTGTGTCTCCAGCAGGTTGTCTTGGGGAGGCTCTCTGTCTCCAGTAAAACCCTGCAAAAGCAGCTTTCTTTCCTTTCACGTGGAATGATAAGTTTATGCTTCCTAGTACACCAGTGTGGTGACAATTAGTGTATTTGAGGCAATGCACAGTAATGCCGCTAATTTCTTCTTGTTGCACAGTCCCTGTGACTCCTGTGGCTTCATACCCAGCAAATTCCTTTCTGTGGATTGGTTTAAACTAAAGGCTTGTCTCTTCTTGTTTTTGATCCAGATTTTTAAAAAGTAGCCTTCCATTGGTATCTGCAGGCCCAAGTCCTGTCACACAGGTGACTAAGGACCGGATTTGCACCTGCAGTCAGGTACTGGGCCGCCTATATGGTTGTGCTCTCGTGGTGCACCTGGAATTAGACGGCCCTAAAAGATGTGGCCTCTAGCATTTTTGTGGACAGAGGAGGGCGATTTGTAAAATGTCCACCCTACTTCTACCAGGCTAAGGAGCACGGGCAGCCTGTTGGCTTTGAAGCTCTCAGTAGCCCACTGGATGCCCTTCAGGAGTGCCCTCCCCTGCTGTGCAGCGCACCGAGCAGAGACGGCTCCGTCATGGAGTGTAATGATGGGCTAGTGAGGGTTACCGAGCAGGCCTGGCTCATATCCTTGCCACATAGCTAAGGAGGCTTGCTCTGGCCCTGTGGGCTGTCCCCCTGCCCTTGATTCCCCCCTCCGTGAAGTTTCCTGAAGTGGTTTCTGAGGTGCCTGGCGGTGTTTGTCCCTGCTGCCTCCTGCCCCTGACTCTCTCTGTCTTTTTCAGTCCATCGCCAAACCTCCCACCACATCCACCATCCCCTTTCCAGCCACCTGCCTCCTGCCCTCAAGTTCCAGAAGAGGCTCTCCCATGCCAACCGGAGGAAGAGGAGAAAGAGAAAAAAGAAAAAAACCTCAGTGCCCCCCTCGGACATCACTCCCACCATCCAGGAAGTGGAGGAGGAGGAGGGGGACAAAGAGGAGGAAGAGGGGGACGAGGAGGAGGAAGGAGAGTCAGAGGCAGAAGAGGCCCTGGAGAAAGAGGTCTCACCAGAGTCAGAGACAGAGGCTCATGAGAAGAAGGACGTTCCTAAGCCTGAGCCCCCTAGCAAACCAAAGGCAAGGTTGGGGTGGGAGGGGCCGGGAGACTCTGGCAGGCTCCACCACTGGGTGCTGGGGGTCAATGAGGGGTAGGGTCTGGGATGGGCTATGCTCTAGGTGGCGAGAGGAGCTGCGATAGTTCACACTCTGGGGAGGAGGGTATGGGATGGTCCATACCCTGGGTGGCAGAGGTCTGGCTGGCTCTATACTGTGGGTAGCAGTGCTTAGTGGGGAGGGTATGGGATGGTCCATTCCCTGAGTGGCAGAGGGTTAGGTCTAGGATGGCCCACATCTGAGGGGAGCAGTGAGGGGAAGATCTAGGACCATCCTTTCCCTGTGGGGACGGTCTGGCTTGCTCATGCAGGGCAGGGTCTGGTTCTTGTGCTCAAAGTTGTCTCCTCTCTGCAGTTCAGCATTGGGAGTGATGATGAATCCTGCGGTGCCTTGGCTTCTGCACGGTTCCATGTGGAGAAGGAGTGTGGCGTCATGTCACCGATGCCACACCATGCTGATCTGCTGCAGGAGACAGGCCCGGCCTCTCTTGGCAGGTAGGATGGACTTGACCTGGGGCTGGCTGGTCGATCAAAACATAATATCATCACTGATAACTTTTGCAGATAATACAAAAATTGTGGGAGAGGTAAAGAATAAAGAGGACAAATCATTGATGCAGAGCAATCTGGAGGCCTTGGTAAGCTGGGCGCAAGCAAACAATATGCATTTTAATGTGGCTAAATGTTCCTAGACGCATGAATTTACAAAGAATGAAGGCCATACCTGCAGGATGGGAGACTCTCTCCTGGGAAGCAATGACTCTGAGAAAGATTTGGGGGTCATGGTGGAGAATCAGCTCAACATGAGCTCCCAGTGTGATGCTGTGGCCAAAACAGCTAATGGGATCCTGAGATGCACAAACCCAGGAATTTCGACTAGGAGTCGAGAGGTTATTTTACCTCTGTATTCAGCACTGATGCGACCGCTGCTGGAACCCTGCACCCAGGTCTGGTGTTCACAGTTCACGAAGGATGTTGATAAATTGGAGAGAGTTCAGAGAAGAGCCACAAGAATGATTAAAGCATTAGAAAACATGCCCAGGGCAGGTGTAGTGTAGACCTGGCCTAGGCTTGTTTTCTAATGCTTTAAAATCCACATCCTGAGCGACGCAGTTACAATGACCTAATCCCCAGCTTCTCCCACTGACATAACCCACCTGCGTGAGAGGTGTAGCTAACTCCCCCGATAGGAGAAGCTCTCCTGTCAGCATAGTAACGTCTTCACTAAAGCACTACAGCGACATGGCTGCACAGGTGCAGCGCTGTGCGTGAAGACAAGCCCTGATAGTCATAGACTCCAAGAGCTCAATCTCTTTCACTTATCAAAGAGAATATTAATGTGTGACTTGATCACAGTCTATAAATACCCATATGGGGAACAGATATTTGATAATGGGGTCTTCAGTTTGGCAGAGGAAGGCCTAACACGATCCAATGGCTGAATGTTGAAGCTAGACAAATTCAGACTGGAAATCAGGGGTACATTTTTAATGGTAAGAGTATTTAATCATTGGAACAACTTACCAAGTGTCGTGGTGGATACTCCATCACTGACCATTTTAATTCAAGACTGGAATTTTTTAAAAAGCTCTGCTCTAGGAATTATTGTGGAGCAGGTCTCTGGCTGGGTTATTCCGGAGGTAAGACTACATGATCCCAAGGGGTCCTTCTGGCCTTGGAATCTATGAATTCTCCTTTGACTCTGACACAAGAGGCAGAGGCTGGGGACATCCTTGCATCCAAGCTTCCCTTCCTTCCACTTCCCCTTCTCTCTCACCATGTGGGTTTGCCTGAGAAGGAGGGAAGGGTGCCAGCATGTGCCCACCCTGGTCCCCGAATCGCTCACTCTCTCAGCCAGGTGGGCTACAGGACCCAACTGGGGCAGGGTCTGGATACAGCTTTCCTGGTTCCCAGGTACAGATGGTTGCCCCCTGACTAGGCTCCCTTACCAGCAGGGGTATCACCTGGAGGGCACCATGCCAGGGAGGGAGGAGCTTGCCCTTCCAGCCTGACTTTCCTTTGTGCCTGGTTCCTGACCCACAGGCTGGGAAGCAGCGGGGCAGGCCAGGCCAGGGCTTGTGGACACAGAGCAAGAACTGTGAGGCTGTGGTCCCATGAGGAAGTTCCATCCCTTGTAAGGAAGGGGGGCTTACCCTGTAGGGGAAGGGAGCAGGAGCAGCATTCATTGGGCCTCGCTTCTTGAAGGGCTAAGGGTGAGCCCCCAGCTGTAGTTTGGGAGTCCCTGTGACATGCCTGCTCCTCAGAAGCTTTTCAGATAATTGGGTCTGAGGTCAGGGCCAGGGGGACCCTTCAGCCCAGAGGATGATCTCATGAGAAAAGACCTACAAACAGGAGCTCAGACTGGGAACAGCCTCTCCCCTTTCCATCCCACTCCAGTGCTGCCAGCTCTGCTTTGCTGCTACTGCTAGGTTTCCCGTTTGTTTCCTCAGCCTCCCGGGGCCCAGAGAATGTCCGTCTCGGGGATGGGACAGGCGCAAGCCCTGGAGCCAGATGGTGAGCGGGCAGAGGGTGAGTTATGATCTGAAGGAGCGGATGTGCATCGGCAGCATGACCACTCTGGAGAGTGCAGTGTACCAGCGCGTCCCCACTGATGAGGCCGAGGCCCAGATGCTGGCGTCTGCTGACCTGGACGACATGAAAAGTGAGGCCCTGCTTTGTGATATTTAATGTGCCTCTTGTACAAGTGTCATCCACCCTCTGCCCATCCCCCTGGACATCAGGCCTGGGCATTTCCCCCCTCCCGGCCCATCCCCCTGGGCGTCAGGCCTGGGCATTTCTCTCTCCCCCCCCCTCCCCCGGGCCCATCCCCCTCGGCGTCAGGCCTGGGCCTTTACCCCCAGGCCTATCCTCTTGGTTGTAAGGTCTGAGTAACCCAGCCATACCTTCCCTCCCCACTTTGTGTCATCCCTAAGACTCTGCCATCCCCCTGGGAGCTAAGCCTGGTGGTTAGTCCTCCCATTCCTTGGGTGCAGGGGCCAGGAAACATGTCCCCTGCTGTTTTCCCAGCGCTGTGCTGAATTTTGGTTGAAAAGTTGAACCGAAGTCCTGGCAGTTCATGGTGAGTCGCGTCAGACCCCAGGGTCCTTGTAGCAGGGGTGCGGTTTTAGCACCCTTGGCCTGACCCAATTCCACCTGGGGGAATTGCAGTCTGCCTCCCTATATACTGCCAAGAGTTTCCTTTGGTGACAGGATTTTGCTTCACTTCCTGTCTGAACCTGGTGTGCAGGGGTGCTGGGACTAGGGATGATGAGGGTGTGGCAGCACCCTCTGGCTTGACTGTAGTAATAACCAAATATATGGTTGCCACTTTCAGCACCCCTGCTATAAAAATTATCCCAGCTCCCCTGCTGGTGTGTGGTGTCCCTGTGCTTTGCCCTCCCCTTCTCCCCACCACGAGTCGAGGCTGCCTTTCAGCGAGGGTGGGTGATTCCTGGGGAGCTTGTATCAGTTTGGTGAGTTTGTAAAGTGTTTTGGGGTCTATAGAACCATCCTCATTGTCACACAGGGAGCTGTCCCCTCCTGGTGTGGAATACAGGGGATCTTGGAGAGAGACCCAGGGCTCCAGTTACTAGATGTGCCTCTGACCTGACGGTTTAGACAGTCTCGAGTCTAAACACTTCTGGCAGCTTTGTCTGGAGACCATTCACTGCATTCGCAGGCACCACCGTCTCAACAGTCACTTACTGTCCTGGAATAAGAGACCTCAGCTAGCACTTCTTCCCCATTAGCCCTCCATCCTTACCTGTGGCACCCTTCCTGCTATTCCAGCCCTGGGCTTCTCCCTTCCACTCTGCTGATGCTCTTCTATCCTGCCCTGCAGTCCTGGGCTCTCTTTCCCCTTCCCACAGCTCCGCTAGTGTCCCTCAATCCCAACCCGCAGCCCCCTGCTGCTCTGCCTCGGACTCCCCCCTTCCACTCTACTTATGCCCTCAGTTCGGACTCACTCATGTAGCTCCAGGCCTTTCCTCACCTCCCACCCCTTGGCTCTGTGCCTTTTCTCACCTCCATCCTGTTACCCTCTTGATTTTAGGGCTCCATGCATCCCTTAGTTCCAGCCCTCTCCTCGTGACATACTTTCCCAGCGAGCAGTGTCTTTGCTTGCCAGGAGAGTGCCGGTATTGCAGCAGCCTTGTGGGAGGAGCTGTCCTATCTGAGAAAGGGAGAAACCCCTGCTGAAGTGACTCTGAGGGCACTCAAGCCCAGAATCATTGGATAATTGTTGCCCAGCTGGGACCTGTGACTTGTGTTTCCTGTTGTTTAGAGAGGTACCTGGGGTCCTTTGGGTGCAGCCTGTGTCCTGGGATCTGCCCCTGTGCGTATGTGAGAGCAGATGGAAGAGACGTCATGGAAATGCATGCTCTGGGCCTGAGGACATGGAGAATTCAATAGGCTGCTTTCCAGGTTGGAGAGGGAGGGAGCGAGTCACCAAAGGGGGGAGAGCGGGAGAGGAGCAGGCAGTGCTACACATGCACAGGGTCTCTGGCCCTCCAGCAGGAAACTCCTCTGCTGATGAAGAGCCCCTTGGCCCAGGGAGCGAGTGGAGAAAGCCCTGCATTACAGCCTTTCCCGCAGCAAACCTCCCCCAGTGGAACCTTTCTTTCCAGGAGCTCATCAGTCCCTAGGGCTGCTGCCACCAGCATCACATGCCTTTCCCCAGCCGAGGGGGACCCAAACAGTGAGGGCATGGTGGTCTCCATGGTGCTACGAAAATCCTGACAGGTCATCCAGAGCAGGGACCTTGCTGGGCAGCTCGTCTTCTGGAACTCAGATAAACAACACCAAACTCTGGGTCTTGCAAGTGTGGTGCATAGCTCATGAGCCTTGACCCCTGACCTTGCCAAGGACACAATGACGGCCATTCATGATGGAGAGGAGGCAGGAGGGGGTGACATCCCAGAGGTGGGGATAGGCAGCTGCATCCACAACGCGGTCGGCTACGAAGACTTGGAGGAGTTTGCCCTCAGTTTTGAAGATTATGATTTATGGGAGGCCATCAGAAACCAGCTGGGTTACCCTGGTGGGGAGCCCGTCTGTAAGTACCTGACCTGCACTGCAGTGAAGGGCTCAGGGCCCTGAACTGAGCTCGCTCTCTCTCTCTCACTCACACATGCAGAGTGCTGTCTGTCCATTGGTCTGTGTCTCAGAATAGGCGCCCCTGAGTTAGAGTTTGTGGTACACAGCTCCCACCCAGACAGTTCCCACTGTTCCCTCCTGTGCCCCTGTGTCTGAGCACTTGGAAGACGCTGCCCACTGTCTGTGTTGTGTCTCAGGTATTTGTGTAGGACCAGTCACTGTGGTGTTGAGGCATTTCTCTGTCGTCGTCTTACCTGAGCAATCCTGGATGCAGATCTGGAGTGGTCTGCCCCACAGCCAGGGAAGATGCAGCTCTGGACTGGAACTTATTGTGGAAACGACATTTTGTCATTTGTCTTTGGTACCAAGCTGGTGTAGCCTGGTGGTCTCAGGATATGCAAAGCCTAGGGCAGAGTCTCAGGCTGTTATGTATGCTGTTTGCAGGAATTTGAGCTGGGGTCTGGGATCTGACTGCACTATCAGCTGGTATCAAGTTCTCAGCTCTGCAGTGTGGACTAAAGATAGTGGGGAAGGATTCAGTAGTATGTGTGGCCCTGGGTGTGAAACCTGCTGCTGGGCAGCTGGGCAAGGTCCAGTGACTGGAGAAAGAAGAAAGATGAGAAGAGGCATGAAAGAGAGAGAGGTTGTGTGTGTGTGTGTGTGTGTATGTGTGTGTGAGAGAGAGAGAGAGAATATGCTGGGAGCAGTTTTTCTCCTCTCGTCATCCCCTTATCCATCCACCCACCTGGTCTTGGAGGCCCTCCAGCGATTATATAGAAATCAGAGAGTCCAGCCCTGGCTCCTGTTGCCCGTCTCTCCCCAGGGCAGGGTAGGCTGCATGGGTGTTGGTATGTGGGTTTTGTTAGGAGGTGGCGGCGAAAGCAGCAGTAAAGAGGTGGCTTTACACTTCAGCCTGAAGCCAACAGTATTACTACTCATGTTTTATTGTGGTAGCTGCCCAAAGGCCCCCTCTTGTCCTGGGTGCTGTCCCAGGCCCAAGGAGCTCACAAGGGGCAAGATGGGCTTGTGGTTAAAGCCCCAGGCTAGGACTCAGTAGCTTGAGATTCAGTTTCTGGCTCTGCTGCAGACTCTTGGTGAGAGCCTGGGAAAGTTGCCCCATCCCCACGTGTAAAACGGTGATAACCCTTCCTTCCTCTCGCCCTCTGTCCGTCTCATCTCTTTGGAGTGGACATACTGGGGGGCAGGGACTGCCTGGCTATGGTCTGTGCAGCACCCAATGTGCTGGAGTCGTGCCCTTGGCTGACTCCTTGAGGTGCTGCTGTAAAACTGTTGCTAATAACAAAGGTGCTGGGAATGGAAAGCAAGGTGCTTGGTGAGTTGTCAGGCCCACTTTTTGTTACTTCCATTCTTTGAAATGTGATGATTTACACTTGACCCCGGGATTCCCTGGGTTTGTGTGTTTGGCCTCCCCCCACCTTCTTCGGTGGTTTGTTTTTACCAGCAGCAGTTTCTGAGTTGGACTGACTCAGCGCTCAGTCTCTTTGAAAGCTTATCTTAGGGGTGTGGAGGAAGCAAAGACGGGTTTCTTTACCTTCACTGAGGCATCGGTAAATCCCATTCAGCAGATCTGTTCTGGGTAATGCACAGCATGGTCAAGCTAGGTGGTCTTAGTCCAGTCACAGATTGGGATGCTTCTGTCAGGAGTTTTTAGTTACTTTGCAGATGCCATCCCTCAGGTTTCGCTGGAGCTGTTGTTTCAGGGAAGAGGAGAACAAACAGTCTTTTTTGCTTGAGTTTCAGCCAGCAACATGCACTTAGATTCGTAGATTCCAAGGCCAGACCACTGTGATCATCTAGTCTGACCTCCTGCATAACACAGGCCAGAAGCCTGCCCCACAATAGTTTCTTTTGAACTAGAACATATTTTTTTAAAAATCCAATCTTGATTTAAAAATAGTCCGTGATGGAGAATTCACCACGACGCTGGGTAAATTGTTCCAAGGGTTAATTATTCTCACAGCTAAAAATGTTTCCTGTCTGAATTTGTCTAGCTGCTTCTTCCAGCCGTTAGATCATGTCAGATCTTTCTCTGCTAAACTGAAGAGCCCTTATCAAATATTTGGTCCCCGGGTAGGTGCTTATTGGCGATGATCAAGTCACTCCTTAACCTTCTCTTTGTTAAGCTAAATATATTGAGCTCCTTGCGTCTGTCTCTATAAGGCAAGTTTTCCAATCCTTTAATCATTCTTGAGGTTCTTCTCTGAAACCTCTCCAATATATCAACATCCTCCTTGAACTGTGGACACCAGAACTGGGTACAGTATTTCCACAGTGGCCACACCAGTGCCAAATACAGAGGTAAAATAACCTCCCTGCTCCTATTTGTAATGCTTGGATCCATAAGCCGGGGAATTTCATTAGTGCTTTTGGCCACAGTGTCACACTGACGGATCATGTTCTGCGGATTATCCACACGCCTTTTTCAGAGTCCCTGCTTGCCAGGATAAAGTTCCCCCCTTCCTGTAAGTGCGACCTACAGTCTTTGTTCCTAGATAGATACACTTATATTTAGCCATATTAAAACAAGTATTGTTTGCTTGCACCCCACTCACCAAGTACACCAGATCATTCTGTATCACTGACCTGTCCTCTGCATTATCTACCCTTCCCCAATCTTTGTGTCAGCTGCAAACTAAGGTTCTTGAGGTGCTAGGGAGCTTTGGGCCATGGCTTGATTGTCCGGCACAGGTGCTCCTTGGCTGGTGAAGGCCGGGGGGAACCTGCTGAGTCTCTTAGTGGAGGAGACTCTCGATGACTTCTTTGGAAGGGACATGTACCAATCATTAGATCTTTGATCAATAAACTTTGTTTGGAAATTGAACATGAGAACGGCCATACTGGGTCAAACCAATGGTCCATCTAGCCCAGTATCCTGTCTTCCGACAGTGGACAATGACAGGTACTTCAGAGGGAATGAATAGAACAGGGAATCATCAAGTGGTCCATCCCCTCTCGCCCATTCCCAGCTTCTATCTCACCAGTTATCATCCTGTCTCACACTTTGCTCCTGGCACAATCACAAAAAGGTAGTGATAAGGCAACTACCGCAGTCTCTGGTGTCCTTCGATGTTTCTTTTTACTCCACTCGGGTTGGCTTTAGGCCAGGGTGGGGCAGACGACTGTGCCGAGTCTACACAGAAATGCAGTGCTCAGCAAGCCGGGATGAAAGCCTACAGGGCACTAGCAAGCCACACATTAACTGGCCACGTGGACCTTGTTACTGCACACTAAAGTTCCATAGGTTGTAGCAGCAGGACGTCAGTGCACTAGAGCAGTGGTTCTCAACCAGGGGTCTGGGGTCCCCTGGGGGGCCACGAGCAGGTTTCAGGGGGTCTGCCAAGCAGGGCCAGTGTTAGACTTGCTGGAGCCCAGGGCAGAAAGCTGAAGTCCCACTGCATGGGGGTGAAGCGTTGGGGCCCTGAGCCCCACCACCTGGGGCTGAAGCAGAAGCCTGAGCAACTTAGCTTCACAGTGCCCCCTGTGGCACGGGGCCCTGGACAACTGCCCTGCTTGCTACCCCTTAACGCCAGCCATGGCTTTTAGATGCAGAAAACCAGTTACTGTGGCACACATGGCCATGGAGTTTTTATAGCATATGGGGGAAGAGGAGGGGCTCAGAAAGCAAAAGGTTGAGAGCCCCTGCATGAGAGAACTTTTAGTGTGTGGTTGCAGGGTCCACCCAGTGACTTAGAGCACAGCAGGCTGGTCACGCATTAGGCCTCTGTTTAGACAAGCCTTAGCCAATAGTCTCCTGCTGCTGACTCAGAACATGGGCCAGAGTTACAACAGTGATCTCTGACTTTAGGTGCTGAGCTTCACATACCTTGAGCTTGATTTGTGGCTGGGCGGAGCACCCAGAACTCCAGCTGAAGCCACTGGGATCCCTTCTGAAAACTGGGCCTGAGGGGCCTCAGGCTGGGTCCCTTACTGAGATACCCAAACCCGTGGCTGTTTTTGGAGGATGTAGGCCCATCTTTGCATTCTGAGTCCTTTAGCTCTGTCAGCTGCCTTCCATCATGGTGACCAAGGGATCCACCGCTCCTAGCAGAGGTAGTGGAGGTGTCTGAGAGGTTCCAATGCTTTCTTCCAAAGAGATCCCAGCAGGCAGTATTGATAGGGAATTGCTCACCTGCCCTGAGCGCCCTCATGCAGAGCCTGCCAAGCTCCATCGTCTGCCCCTTACTATTCACCGACTACAAGAGGCCACTAGAGGGGCTAGTGAGAGGCTTGGCCTCTTCAGTTTCACAGGCAGGGCCTCGCCATGGCTTTCCAGGCTCCTAGCACCTTGAGGGAATGATGCCTGGGGCTGTTCCTCAGGTGACCAGTGCAGAATGCTGCCCCTGCTATTGGATGGGGGTTTCCCATTGGGAGACTCACTGTGTGACCTCAGCCTTGTTGGGCCCCTGTTGCCACCTGTAGCCAGGGCCGGTGGTCGCCTAGGGCGCTGCAATTTGGGGGGGCGGCGACCGCGGCGGTATTTCCGCGGCGGGACCTTCCACCGCCTCTGTGGGGGGGTGGCATTTCGGGGTGGGACCTTCTGCCGCCTGGGGCGGCGGAAAAGCTGGCGGCGCTCCTGCCTGTAGCATGGGGATAAATAACCTTTCCCTACGTCACAGGTGTGTTGTGAGATTAAATGACGCTCATATTCTCCAAGGATGGAGGCGTAGAAATGTATACATCAACAAGTCAGTTTGGTATGTGCCTCGTGAACATAGTGTTAAAAGGTGTATTCACATCTTGTGCCCTCACCTCATACAGATCACACACGCTCATTGCACTCACACACCAGCCACACGCTTCTTTTCACATGCATTCGCATCACCTCCACATTCATAAAGCACAGTCATGCACAAAGACACACCATTCTACCCCGGACACACACCATACAAATAGTGAAATCCGTGTGCATGCACATGAATGCAGAGAGAACACGCGGCCCCCGTGCAGTGCAGCTCCCAGAACACCAGCAGCAGCTCGCTGGCGTCGATGGGCAGTTATTGGCTTCCATTGATATTCCAGTAATGGAATATGGAGAAGTCCAACTGTCAGCAGGACTCTCATCAGCCGCGCAGCCAATGGGGAAAATCCCCACAGGCTCAGTATGGATCTATTCTATCTTTAACGTAGTGACCCAGATTCCCGAGGAGCGAGGCTGTGGTGTGGCTGTCCTGGCGCTGGAGACCTCCTTCCCGTGGCTGGAAGGGGCCCACATTCCCATGGATACAGGGGCATAACGCCGCAAACCATGGCTGAGGTGCTGCAGCGCCAGTGGGGGCATTGCTTTGCTTTGAAGTCTGATGTTTTTCACATTCTGAAGGTCAAAGTTCTTGAGGCCCAGCTGAAAGAGGACAGCGCGCAGATGCTGCCCTTCATCCCGGGCAGGACGGGGCTGTCCTGAGAGACTTGGAGCCCCCCAGGCAAGGTGACTCTCCTTCCCTGATGAGCCTCTCAGGGGGAACAGATCTTGGCTTCCCCTGCAGGCAGGCCTGGGGAGGCTCCACAGACCCCCACCTAATGGGAAACAGTGGACTGGGGGGCTCCCTGACTAACCTAATCCACCTTTCGCTGCGGCTCATCACCCTGTAACAAAGCCCAGAATTTCATTGCCCCCTTTCATCGGCGTTCTCCAAGGAAGCTTCAGCTTCTCCGCCTCGCAGGGGAGCCTCACCCCTCCACAGCATGCTGTTGTCACAGCACCAATGCAGTCGGAAGGACAGTCGCTGTTCAGGCCTGTTGCATGGGGGTTTATGTCCGCTGTCCCTTTTCTCTGGTATTGCTAATGCCGCCAGCACTGCAGGAGCCAGGTCTGATGTAGATGTAACAGCTAGCACTGACAGCATGCAGTGGTCAACCTGTAATGCAACCTTGCTGTTCAGGTGTCTTTGAGTCAGCCAGCTGGACGCGGCAAGTCAGAACTGGAAGAGAGCATGAAAGCTGCATGACTGATCCCTTGGAAGTCAGGGATTGCTAGAGTTAATGGTGCAGCCTTCACTCTGGCCCCTTGTGTGTTTGCATTATTACACTGCAGCCTTTCACTGCATGATCATGTAACACAACATGTCATCCAGTGTTTTCTGCAGCCATAGATACTTCCACGTGTCACTGGCAGTGGCTGAGGAATCCCTCCCCTCCATGCTACACGGCTGAGTTAGCCACAGTCACACGTAGCATGGCCTTCCTGCATGTGGAGCATTGACGGAAACGGCTTTAAAAAAAGAACCCCACGCCCCAAGCTCTGCAAGGACACACAATCTGATCTTCAGACTCTCCCAGCAGAGCCTAATCAGGCCTAATTCTCACCATGTTACAGCAAAAACCCCACAGACTCAGCCAGGAGAGCCCCTTTCCTGGGTGAGGTTTGTCTCTTGCTCACAAAGAGCAGAGGAACATTAAAATGGAGCACAAAAATACTCTCCCACTGAGGGCTTCTTACCCAGCCCTAGGCATTGTCTCCCTGCGAGGCTGTTCCTGGAGCCACTGTTAGTGCCTGGCAGTCCCTGGGCATTCAAAGGCACTTCTCACTCGGGGCCGTTTCCCTGTCAGATTGTAGCATCGCACTCCCCCATGCTGTGGTGCTGGAGCTGGCCCAGAAGGGTCCAGGACATTGCTACTCCTGGGAAGTGCATGTGGAATTTCGTCACTCACCTCCTACTCAGAAATGGGATAACCATTTTACTTGACTTTATATTGACAAATTCTTGCTCAGCAGAGTGAGCTTGGAAAGCGTCATCCCAACGGGTGATTGTTCTCAAATGTTAGAAACAGCCAAATACTGGGGGCTACAAGAACTTGACTCGCTGGAGTGTGAGCGCTCCAGCTGCAATGGGAATGCTAGCAGGAGCTGCTGAGAGACCTGTGTGTTTGCCTGCCTGCCAGCACATTTCCACTAAACACACCATCCATCTTTCCTTGTTTGCTTTGTCTCCAGGCCACCGCTTTGAAGATAACCCTGGTGTGAGGCGGCATCTGGTGAAGAAACCATCTAGGAGCCAGAGCACCAGAACCAGCAGGAAGATGGTGTCAACCCCATCTATCAAGAAGAAGAAGAAGAAAAAGAAGCTGGACAGGAGGCCCCATGAGGTATACAAGCCACACCCTCTCCAGGTGGCCACAAATCACATCAGGCCCCCAAAAGCAGGAGATGGGCTTAGAAATAACAAGATTTTAAAAGTAGTAAATGTGGGGTTCTGATGGTTTGCTTTCTGCCTTCTGGTCTTAGGGTTCAGATTTTCAATCTTTTCTCCACAGCCAGGATGGCTAGAAACTTACTTTTTAAAATGAAAGCAGAGATTCTTACAAAAATCATATCCCTGCAAAAGGTCTGGTTTTAAGAAACACATCAAATATCCTGATAATTGCAATAAAATCAGGGGAGTTGGCAGCACAGTAATGGCACCACCCTGCTGAGAGCAGTGACAGGATGGGAGGTCTCTTGTGCCGGGGGGGAATCTCTCCTGTCTTGGCCAGTGATTGGTGAGAGAGGCAAAATCTTCACACTAGAGACAATGAGAGCTGCAGGGTAGAACCGTTCACGTCCCTCCAGGGTCACTGTGTGCTCTGGAGTGACATATGTGAAAGAATGGGCGCGGTATGCTCTGGTGTTGTGCATTGCTGGGGACTCCTGCCAGCTGTCCCTGGGATATTTGTTCTAACCACTTCTGGTCACCAAACCTTTCGTACGTTAATGAGCGAGAGAGGACACCATTGCTCCCCCATTCCTTTAGGTGTCCTGCGCCTGGGCCAGTTAGCAGAGTCCTTTGGCCCAGTGTTCTCTGCTCAGCTGGTGGAGTGAGGTGAAGACAAGGTGATATCGCTTGTGGAGCCGGTATTGCTGGGGAGGTTCCCTGCTGCTGTTGAGTTGAATGTTTTTGCTTTAACCCCGGGCGGCAGGTGTTTGTGGAGCTGAACGAGCTGGTCGTAGATAAGAACCAGGAGATGCACTGGAAGGAGACAGCGCGCTGGATCAAGTTTGAGGAGGACGTGGAGGAGGACACAGCACGGTGGGGGAAGCCTCACGTAGCCTCGCTATCCTTCCGCAGCCTGCTGGAGCTCAGGAAGACCATTGCTCACGGTGAGTCTCAGCAGCCTTTGCATGACCGATGGGCTCCTGCAGAGAGAGGACAGGAGAACTGCCCAGGTGAATTTGGGCCTCACCATGGGGGAGACATTTGTAGGGCAGCTGCTATTCGTGGGTTCTGTCTCCTTAATAGACACTTCAACAGTGTCTCAACCCAGGTTCTTTTAAGGAAAACTAAGGAAGTGAGAGAGGCTCCTATGGCCTGTGTGACCAGGCTCTGGCATGAGTGTCAGGGTCCCCCTCTGGTGTGCCAGGCCTCATGTCTTAGCAGACATGACTGCTGACTCCAAGCAGTGGCTGGAACGCGCACCCTGTGTCAGGGCCTGCGCATTGGGCCAATAAAGAGACCAAAGGGGTTTTGTGTTTTAAAGTTTGTCTTTTCCATAAGAAATTCATGTCCTCTCTAGGCAGGAGACTGTGCAACCTAGATGGGAACTCGTGAAACAGGACACACCATTGCCAAGAGCTGTGCGGTTGTGAGCTGCCGCTCAGAGGTGTTTTGTTGAAATGAATCACATTCTCTAAATCCCGGAATGGCCTGGGAGCCTCCTACCAGGGCAACACCTCTTCCCCTGGTCCACACGCTCACAGCGGCGCCCAAACCAGGGCCCCCTCAGTAGGAAAGAGCGGGGGCTGCTGGTAGGGCATTCTCTGGGTGAAGCTATTGACTTTGGAACTCGCTGCCCCTGGTCTGGAACAGTCTGAGTCTGCTGGCAGCCCCAGCGTGAGCAAGCATTTGGGCAGGGGGTGGGGGTGGGTTATTGGAGCAATGGGGCTGGGAGGCTGGTGTGGGCCATATTGGCTGCCTGGGGCTCAGTGCGTTTGTGTTGGGGCAAGAGTGGCAAATATGCTGCTCTTTTAGCACTGACATGACTTTGTATTGTATCTTGTAATGAAAGGTACCCAGAGCCCAGATGTAACAGGATGGCACCTCATCCTGCCCGAAAGGGGCTAGGCAGGCAGGGTGAGGTGAGACTCTGCCTCTGCACAGAGAGGACTGGGGAAATGGGCTGAACAATCCTGAGGGAGGAGCCCTAGGACCAGCCTTGCCGACGGAGAAGGTCTGAGCTGAATTTATTTCTATGCTCTGGGAAGAGGAAGACTTTGCGCTGTTCCTAGCATCCAGACTATGTGGGAGAGCAAGTTGGAGAGGCCTCTACCCACCCAGGAGAGGCGTTCTTTAGGTGTATTGGATTTAAATGTTCTGTACAAGAGTATCTCCACAGAAACATGCACCTGCTAGAACCCTCCCACAGTACCAGGACCCTGGAGGTTGCTCTGGGAGACACACATCAGGGTATTCAGAAAAAGCCACAAAACAAACTAAAATGTTACTGCAGAAACACGAGTCTGAACACGTCTGAAATGATACAGGCCCGTGCTTCAGAATAACACGAGGGGAACTTCAGACAGACTGTAAAAGTATGGCAATAAAACGCTTCTCAGGTTTTCTAGGCCTGAAAGAAACGACTAGCAACATAGCCTCCCAATACACTGTTTCTAAAACTATTCAGTGCTGTGATCCTGCTGCAGACAAACCCTCTGCACATGGGAACTTCACCCCCAACAGCAGCCAAGCAGGACCTGCCCGTTCCCCCTACTCATTGACACCCACAGCAGAACACTCCTGCTGCCACCTCAGCCAGTGCAGCAAACGCCCCCTTCGCCCCGGAACAGAGCACAGCTGGCCCTCCTGGCTCCTGCCTCTGCAAGGCTCCGATAAAGTCACTCTGAGACCCTCTGGTTCTGAAACTACTGGTGCTTTTATTTGTGCTCACCATACAGCTTATACAGCTCTGGGTTCCTTGTGTCTGAACCCAGGGGGAAAGGGCTTTCTCCCTGCCTGCCTGCACTCCCTCACTCTCCTCCGTCCCACCACCCCGCTGCCTTCTTCCCAGCCTCTTATATATCCCTGGGCTGATTGGGCTGGCAGCTGGCTCTCATTCCCCAGTTAGGGCAGGCTCTTTCCATCCAGCTCGACTTTATTCACCCACATGGGGCTGGCGTGGCAGGGGGCTGATTCTGCAGTCTTTCTAATCAGCACCTTGTCACAGCCCCCCACCACAAAACACAAGTGGGTCAGCAGCTAACCCCAAATGCAAACATGGCCCATTCCTCCAGCCTGGGTCCTCAAGGGCAGCAGCCCTGACTCCAGGGGCAGGGCAGTTTGCTCCCTGGGCAAAGCGAACAATGCTCAAGCTGCTAGACCCTGTCAGGAAACCCCAGTCACGGAGTGACAGGGACGCACAAATCCAAACCAGTGACAGACGGGTCTGGGCAGAACTACACCAGATGATGTAGTTGGGAATTGGTCCTGCTTTGAGCAGGGGGTTGGACTAGATGACCTCTTGAGGTCCCTTCCAACCCTGATATTCTATGATTCTATGATACACCGACTCTCCCCCGATACAGACTCTCTGTGCAGAGGGAAACCAGGAGACACCAAGCCCAGAGAGGGCAACTGGGCAGCCAGCAGGGCAGAGGAGAGACAGGGACAGACACCGACATTGACTCCTGGGCCCAGAAAAAGGGAAAGAGCTTTCCTTAATTTGCTGGGGATGGTCCCAGACTTCATATCCCCAAGTGATGAGGAAGCTGTGTCCAACCCTGGGCGATGGAGAGAGATGCAGAGATGGCACTTCACAGCCACCACCTCTGAGTCAGGAACAGAGACTAATGACTAAGGTTAAGGTTTTGTCACAGTTGTTTTTAGTAAAGGTCCCAGGAAGGTCGTGGGCAATAAACAAAAATTCACAGAAGCCCGTGACTTGTCTGTGACTTTTACTAAAAATAATGGGGGGGAGGCTGGCTGGGGGAGGGGGGACTAGCAGCTCCAGTCCCTGCTGCCCACGGCGGCTCGGCGCTGCGGGGCCACTCCCACCCCAGGGCACGGGGCTGAAGTTGTAGCAGAAAATGTCTCAGAGATCTCTCAAAGTCACGGAATCCGTGTGACACAATCTTATCCTTAGTAATGACAGAGGATCATGGGAGCAAGCCCTGAAGGCTGCATGAAGCCCCATCTGGGCAAAGGCCTGAGGGGTCTTTGTGACACGCTGGCAGCTCCCGTATAGCTCATCCACCAGCGAGTTGCAGTTGAATGGAAGCGTGTGGATGAGTGTGAGGGAGGAGTGACTGATGGGTGAGGGGGTGAGTGGCACGGGTGTATGAGAGTGTTAGGGTGTCTGGTGCCTGGGCATGAGTGTGAGGGGTGACCGGAGTGAGTGTGTTATGAATGGTGGGGGGGTGGGGTGCGAGCCATGTGCACGTATGAATGTAATATGGGCAGCTGCCTTCTGAGTGTCCCCTTGTGGCCAGAGGTGGCTCAGGAGCACCCTACCTCTGCTTCCCCCCCAGTATGCAGGCCCCTTTCAGTATTCACTCAGTTCACAGGTAGTTCAAACAACCCCCTCCTGGGGTCCAGTCCCCTCAGGTGCATGCTGACCTCTAGTCCCCAACTCCAGTTCGGTCTTTGTCTCCCGAGAATCCAAAATAACACAAAGTCTCAGAAAAACAGAACGCGAACTGACAGTCTTCATCCCAGCCCCACCTCTCTGAGGGCCGTCTTTCTGCTTCCCAGCACCTCCTGCCTGGAGTTTGGCCTTCTCCACAAGCCTTTGCAGTCTCTCCCAGGCCTCCCTGCCTGGAGAGCTTCCTCACACTCCTGCTTCTTGCGCTTTCCCCCCGCTGACTCAGGGTCCTTCAGGGTCTACAGACATAACTGCAGTTTCTTGGGCTTTCCTGTCCCCTGCCACTTCCTTCTCCCTTTGTACTGGAGTTATCTGACTCCTCTCAGGGGGATCATCCCGTAGTCAGGGCTGGCTTAGTCCAGCCCATGGGGCAAGCCCTCCCGTTACAATGAGTGTGAGGGGTCAGTCGAGTGTGAACGTGGTGGGGGTGAGCAGTGCACACGTGTGAGTGCGAGGGGAGAACGGTGTGTTAGTGAGTGAGGGCTGTGTGGTGCACATCTAGCTAGCTCCGGTAACAACAGCAGCAAAGCCGTGGGCACTCTGGCTAGCCGCTCGCATACGTACCCAGGTACACACAGCCTGCACTGCCATTGCTTTGCTGCAATTGTTCTTCAGGCTAGGTAGCTCAAAGCTAGCCTGGGTATATCTGCAGTGCTGCGGTCTGCCCTCTGACTGCAGTGCAGACAAACCCTGAGCGTGCGATGTGGGTGAACGATGGTGAGGGGCAGAGGCACATGCGGGGGGTGGGGGAGTGTGAGAAGGTGGCTGATGCTGGCGTGTGTTTGACTGGACATAGGGGAAGTGCCAGGCCCCGTGGCCTCGCTGATCCCTGCCTAAAGGCAGTGCTGGTGCTTGCTCTCTCCCAGCTGGCAACACTAGTATCTGGGCGGGGTCTGTGGGGATGCTGGAGGTGGGCACCGTGACCAGCTGTCTCCCCCTCCCTCGCCCAGGTGCTGTGCTGCTGGACCTGGAGCAAACCACCCTTCCTGGCATCGCTCATCTCGTGGTGGAGACCATGATTATCTCCGACCAGATCAAAGGGGAGGACAGAGCCAACGTGCTGCGTGCCCTTCTGCTCAAGCACAGGTAGGCGGTCAGGAGCTGGGGACTGCGTGAGGGGGTAGCGGGGGTGAGGAGGGGACGCAGGAGTGATGGAGAGACTCGAGGTGCAGAGATGGAAGCAGAACCAGAGGCGAGAGGCTCAGGGAGCCGGGGCAGTAGAGGGAACAGAAAGGGAAGGGGTGGAGTACACAACCTGAATTCAGAATAGGGCCTGGCCCTGATGGCGGGTGATGAAGTGGAGGAACCAGAGCCTCTGAGGGAGTGATGGAGGGGAAGACAGGGAGTGTTCATTAGAGCAGGGCCATGCTGAGGGGGAGAGGGACTGGGGGTGTCATAGCCTGGGGCAGAGGGAGCAGGGCCGCGGTGTGGGGTGGGGGAATTGGGAGGGGAGCAGAGCCTCGGGGGAGGCAATGGAAGAGCTAGCGAAGGGCCCTCGGGACGGGACTCCTGAGAGGTCGCCGGGGAAGGCGAATAGAGAGGGAAGGGAAGCAGGAGAGTGAACAGAGACAAGGCCTGTGGCCCGTGGTGAGGAAACGGTCCCTAAGGGAAAGCAAGGTGGGGACTGTGGGGCCAAGATGATGATGAGGTATAAGGGCTCTAGCGGGGCAGTGAGAGGGGGTGTGGGGTGGAGCGAGCAGAGAGGAGCGTCCCGAAGTGATTGGAACAGATCAGAGATCAGTTGCTTTATTCTTGGTTCTTGCAAAGGGAGCGTAGGGCACAGGTGCCCAGCCCTGCCCTGCCCTGCCCCAGCCAAGTGCCATAAACTGTCTCCTGCATTCAGAGGAGTTCAGTCCCTGTGTTCATTTGGATCCGGGCTGGTGTCTCCCAGCACTACCTGCTCCCCCAGTGGGCCTGGGCCCCATCTAGACGAGAGGAATCTCTGAGTGGGGAATTCACATGTCTCCTGCCCAGCCACAGCTGGGTTGTGGGGATGATTTATTCCTGCCTACTCAGTACTGGGCTTCCCAAACTGCAAGCGCCAGCTGAGTGCAGCCCATGAAACTGCTGCCCGAGTGTCCCAGCATCCTGCTGCTGAAAGGAAGCCGAAGGGCAGTGACTGTCCCAGTGACTCCCACTCGCACTTCTGAAAGCTGCTGGTGTCCTTTCCAGCCACCCCAATGATGAGAAGGAGGGGTTCTTCCCCCGAAACCACTCCAGCTCCAGTATGAATTCGATAGTGGGGAACCACCATCACAACCACAACCACACGGCCGACACGTGCGTGCCCCTGATGGGTGAGGAGCGCATCGAGATGCTGGACCCCAGAGCCCAGGACTCGGAGTGCAAAGAGGTGAGGGAAGGGGGACTTGCAAGTTATTGTTTTGCCCTTGCCCTGCCTCCCCCAGCCCTGCCATGGAGCTGTTTGGGGCGGGGACCAGGGGGTGCCACCCAGCACCCTTTGGGGGCTAGATACTCACCACTGAAAAAAGCAGAAGCCTAGAGTGAGGCTTTCAAACCCATCTTTAGGCATTTGAATAAGTGGCCTGATCGCCACAAGAGCTAAGCGCCTGGCAGCTCCCACTGAATCGGCAGCAGTTGCAGGCAACCAGCACTTCGAATCCAGGTCACTTATTGAGGTGCCTAAATATGGATTTAGGAACCTAATTTTAGACTCCCATTTTTGATAAATCTTGGCCTTAATTTATGGTGTGAGTGACAGCTCCCCTGGCAGCACTATGTCTGGGACAATTTCCCTAGACAGTGCAGTGCTGCTGCCCTCATTCAAGGGCTGGCTGGCTGCTGCATCACCTCTGCATCTGCCTGCCTCTCTGTCTCTCGTTGGTGCTAATGATGAGCGAGAGACTGGTGAGGATGCTGAAGGGGAGCCGGGTGAAGACAAGGGTAAAGGAATGGAACTGGTGCAGGGAAAGTCTGGAGCCAGCTCCTTCTGGGGGGTGAGGGACGATATGCCACAACAGCAGAGGAGGAAATAACTGACCTGTGGCACCAGGCCTTGTTTTGGATCTTGTCAGTCATAGAATCATAGAAGATCAGGGTTGGAAGGGACCTCAGGAGGTCATCTAGTCCAACCCCCTGCTCAAAGCAGGACCAATTCCCAACTAAATCATCCCAGCCAGGGCTTTGTCAAGCCGGGCCTTAAAAACCTCCAAGGAAGGAGATTCCACCACCTCCCTAGG